GGTTTGTTGCTCCGCTGAGGTAGAGCGCTTTTCCAGGAACGTTGCTCCAATCCTAGACTTGTGCCTCCTCATCCATGTTCCTTCCAAGTGAGGATATTTTTCTCATCTATGTGTGGAATAATTTTATGCACCGAATGTGCACCACCAGTAGAAACAAAAAAAACGAGCGCTGGGGGCTGTGCTAATCAGCGGGGCAGCCCTGGAGTTTTTCCCCACGTGGCCACAAAAGTACCTGGCTTCCAGGGAACCCTGCTCCTCGTGCCCCACGGACTTTGAGGTGGGGTGTCCAGCAGAGGAAGACTCCGTGTGTGGCCCATGAGAGTCGGAGCTGACCCCATGTGGGCGATAACATGCACCTGGCCCGGAGCAGAAGCCTCCAGTCCAACCGCAAGTCACAGAGCCGGCAGCAGCATGGAAGGAATCCTTTCTCCAAGCTCGGGTGATTTCATCTCCCAACACCTCATTAAGGAGGCCCGTGGCACTCCCTGAAATGCTGTCCCGTAATCCTACCTCTGCGTGGAGTTGGCAGGGCCCAGCCTTGTGCTCAGGGCTGGAGGCTGGTTCCCCTTCAAGGGATCTTAGCTCAAGGTCTTTCGTCCCCCGTATCTTATTGCTTTCAGTGTGCCAGGCATTGTGGGCTCCCCATCAGGCACCAATGGCCTGGAAAATGCTCCCTCCCATTTCTTCTCACTGAAGTGGTGCAGACGCTTACGGATGTGGGATGCAAAATCTCCTATGGTAAGATCTTGTGAAATGGCGGCCCGCCGGTAGGGCGAAGGCACCAAATGAGCTTCATCGAGGAAGGGGAAGAAGAAGAGAGTGACATGATGCTCTTGGCACAGCTTGGGAGCAAAGGAAGGATGGAGGGCAGTGGAGGGTCCCTGCTTGGCAGGGGACAGCAGGGCGATGGCTGAGGCGTGTAATGTTTATTTCACTTCAGAGACTCAGCACCGCATATTACCAAGGAGGGCGGAAGCCAGGCCGAAGTAGGGCAAGGGCAAGTGAAAGACAACTGGGAGGCGTTGGACAGATTCCAGTGGGCAGCGCGTGAGGCATTGATCCCGGGGATTTAGGGAAGCAGCCATTAACTGTCTTCACGAGCTCATGCAGGGAGGGCGGGGCCCCGGAAAAGGGCGAACGTGGGATCGAGCTTTAGAAAGGGGGCCAAAGAGGACCTGGGCGTCACAGCCCCGCCGGGGTGCCCAGAGGAATATGGAGCCTGGCATTAAACTAGGCACTGGGAAGGGCAAGAGAAGAGCTGTGCTAGGAGGAAGGGCCGGCGTGGATTCCTGAAGAGCCAACTGTCCCAGCCCAGCCGGACCCTGCTGTCTGAGGGGCCGGCTTGCCTCACTGAGGGAGGCGAGCAGGGGAGGGGGCCAGGCCTTTCCTTCACCTCCACTTCTGGGGCAGCCCCTCGTGACATTGGCACACGGAAAGAGGGAAAGAACCAGTGTGTATTCCCCAGCACATCGTCCCTTTTCTGTCCTGGGAGATCGTGGGGTCTGGACAAAGGTGGGTCAGACAATTATTGACTCCTAGAGTCCCAGGGCTGGAAGAGACCTCAGGAGACACCGAGTCGGCCCCCTGCCCAGAGCAGGACCAACCCAACTCAATCAGCCAGCCAGGACTTGGTCAAGCCGGGACTGAAACACCCCTAGGGACGGAGATTCCACCCCTCCCCAGGGAACCCAGCCCAGCGCTTCCCCACCCGCCTAGAGAAATTGTTTTTCCTAACGTCCAACCTAGACCTGCCCCACTGTAACTTGAGCCCATTGCTCCTTGTTCTGCCCCCTGCCCCCACTGAGACCAGCCTCTCTCCATCCTCTCTGGACCCCCCCTTCAGACAGTCAAAAGCTGCTCCCCATTCTCCGCCCCCCATGACACCAGAGACCGAGGGTCAAACCATTACAACTACACAGCAGCTAGAACGCAGTTTGTTTGCATCCTGTGTCAATAAACACAAAGGAAACATCCAAACCTCGGAGTCTAAGGAATTCTCTGCACGTTTCTTACTTTGCCGGCTTGTTCATTTGAAACGTTATTGCTGGGGAATTGTGCCATCAAAAGGGTCGTTTCAGCTACTTCAGCCTGAGCTTTCGCAGGGCTGGTGCATTTCGCAGGGCCGTGACTTCGTCGGGCCCCCCGCCTGAATGCTGAGGAGGGGAGCAGAGCCGGAGAGGACTCTGAACGGCACGTGCCCCCCCGCGGGCAATAAACCTGCCTGCCCCGAAGCAGATGGTGCCGAATCGTGGCCCAGGCCGTGGCATGACCGACGGGGCTTCTCCGAGCCCAAATGAGATCCGGGCTCTCAACACCTCTGTGGCTCATCTCCTAGCAGGGAAGATTAGCCCTTTGATCTGGGGTTGCTTAGCGCCTGACTGGGCTCTTTGAAGAGACCCTACCCGGTGAGGCGTCCCATGGGGCTGTAACAGGGCAGAAAACCCAGGAGTTCTGGGTCCCAGCTCCTCCTATTCCCACCTGCTCCCTGCTCAGACTCGATCCGGGCTCTCAACACCTCTGTGGCTCATCTCCTAGCAGGGAAGATTAGCCCTTTGATCTGGGGTTGCTTAGCGCCTGACTGGGCTCTTTGAAGAGACCCTACCCGGTGAGGCGTCCCATGGGGCTGTAACAGGGCAGAAAACCCAGGAGTTCTGGGTCCCAGCTCCTCCTATTCCCACCTGCTCCCTGCTCAGACTCGGACT